TAGTCTAGAGAAGAGGAGACTGAGAGGGTATTTTATAGCAGCCATCAACTACCTGAAGGGGGTTTTGAAAGAAGATGGAGCTAGATTGTTCTCAGTGATGGCAGATGACAGAACAAGGAGCAACAGTCTCAAGTTGCAGCAAAGGAAGTTTACATTAGATATCAGGAAGAATTTTCTCCCTGGGCGGGTAGTAAAACAGTGGAACAGGTTACCCAGAGAAGTGGTGGAAGCTCTATCCTTGGGGGTTTTCAAAAGCCAGCTGGACAAAGTTTGGCTGGAATGATCTAGTTGGGGATGGTCCTGCTTTGAGCAGGGGGTTGGACTAGATGTGACCACCTGAGGTCCCTTCCAACCCTAACTTCCTATGAGTGCGCAAATTCCTTTAAGTCTTATAACTTATTGAGGGACTTGCTGGAACCTCCTATTCTTTGTATGATCTCTAGCACTACTTGATGCTGATTGGGACAGCTGCGACATACAAATGCCCTTTCTCAGAGTATTTGTAGACTGTTTACAGGATCTGTCTGCCTAACTGTGTTGGCCAGGGGTTAGTCCCCCATATCTGCCCATCCCTGAGTGACACAATTAGGCTGAATCCAGTTATCTCAGGGAAAAAATGGAACTTAAACCAGCTCCTCCAAAGAGAATAAACTGAGTCTGTTGCTGGTATAATCTGTCCCTTTACTGACAGAGGGAGGATTGCAGAATTTTTTTCTTCTATGTAAAATAAAACAAGCAGGGTCCTAGGTAGAAATAAAAAGAACAACCTAATTTATATTCCAACTTTTTTTTTTTTTAAAGTTGAGTTTATAACTGGACTTTTAAAGTTTTTAGCTGGTTCTTTGGCAGACCAGACCAGGTTGGCCCTTCCTATTTCCTACTCCCTAAGGTTCTAAAGTGTATGTTCTTGCATGTAATTTTCTAACGCACAGAACATTGAAAATATATATTTTTTTTTTAATCTAGAGAAGCTATAGGTGTTCTTTGGAGATAGGTAAAAGCTGCTAAAACTGCCAAGCATGTATGCACTTCTGCATCTATTCAGGGAGGTTGTATTCTTCCATACTGTGCTTTGCAGAGAGGTTGGAAGAACAGCCACAAAGGGCCTGCTCCCAACAGCTTTCACTCTCACTCAGGCAGATGAGTGTTTTTGCTAGCAGTCCTTCATCACTCTACATTATAAGCTCTTATACAGGTTCTGAACTGCTCCTTTCACAAATGCAGTGGTCAGAAACTAACCTGGTTTAAATGTGCTTACATTCAGAAGTTTTTATATGAGAGAGAGCCCTTCCCCTGCTAGACAACCAGAGGTCCAAACATTTCTCTGCAACGTGGGAGATGAGTCCAGCCCCTGCTCTGTGCGCTTCAATGACAGACTTAAATCTGAGTCTCCTGCATTCCAAGGAAGTGTCTTGACCACTGAGCAATACAGTGAATTGCTCTGTCACCGGAATAACTTATACAAAATTGAACATATCCAACTGGCAAACTTGAGAGATCCCACTCCAAAATCCCAATAACCTCATGAGATTTTTACTTTGTATGAGGTAAAAACTCAGACTTGAGTTCCCAACCCCTGCTTTCTAGATGAAAAATGTTTGATATGATCTCTTTCTCTCTACCCCAAGACCTGAGAAAAGCTGAACTTAGTATGCTATTGTGAAAAGCATCAGTTTTAGCCAATTGGCTTTTTCCAACAAAAGAGGAATATTGGAAGAATTTCAAGTAGGTTGACTTGGTGTTCACCTGTTCTACAAAAGTGTCCACTTTTCCTAAAGTCTGAAAGACCATTTTAGTTTTAGGTGGGATTTAAGGTGCAAACTGCCAGTATATCTTATTGAAACTGAATAATCCTAGTTGCAACCACTAACTGAGAAGTTATGTATTTGGGAGTTTATTGGTCAGCCTGACCCTGTAAAATGTGATGGGAAGCAGAAGGGAGTGCCCCAGAAAGACTTGCTCACTTCACTCCATAAAACTACTATGATCATGAATAGATGAGAGCCAATTTTGAAAGGACATAAAACCTACAGCTGTAAGACCAAGGAAACTCTACTGCCACATGGTATAGATAGAAATAATTTTTAAAATAAACTTTAGAAACATCAAAATCAGATTCTTTTATTCTAGTTCTTTTATTTCTCATTTTACATTCTTGAAAAGCTGAACTGATGGTTTTTCTTCTTAAGTTTCATGTTTTTAGTGGTTTATAAATGTTTGTTTATGGATTTTAATTTTTACCCTCTAAGAGGCTTCTTACTTAAAAGGCTTGCTGGAAAAGGAAAGTCCTGAGTTGCACATCCTTGCTGTGAGAACACCACAAACATTAATGCAGTACCCATAAGAAAGTATGCTCTTTATCTGCAACTAATACTTCCTTTTGGTACACTGAACTTCCCCACATTTAAGGAAGCTGAACTGGTTTAACCAGGCTGTAATCCTCCCTCAGGTCTTGCCAGTTAGTGTGGCTGGGGTGTGTACTCTGAAGTCACTCAGTCTGCTTTTGAAAATGCCACCTGCTTATATGAGAAGTTGGTTAACTTGCTTCTAACCTTGAAATATCTTTCCTGCATGTAGAAAGAGTTAGCAATTAACTTGTTAATGCATGGAAAAATCAAAATAACAGTGAACGCTAAAACCTGAAGCAGTTATGTTGTAAAATGGCAAATATGGATAGCACAGTCATTCTTTATACAAATACAACTTGTCCCTTAGACACCAAATGTGTTTAGGGTCATTCTTAATTTTAAACGTGAGTAACCCTCTTTAAGCCACTGATTCTATTCATATGAATAAAATCGCAAATCTCGGTGTTGGCAGTATCAAAGCCTTGTCATAATTTTGTAGGTTGCCTATATAAGGTTTCTGAACTCGGACACCTTCTCACGTGTAGCTGTGCTATCCACTGAAATTGTTGTCCTTCTCCTCCCCTCACTAGTCTCATGCTTGCATACCTCTTTAGTACTACTGAATTTATGATTAAGGCTATTTTAGTTAGGTTGCTGTAGTTTAAGTAACAGTACTATTGTCCTAGCATGTTTTTAAACGCACCCAAACATTTAGTACTGGTATGTTCTAGAAAATAGCCATTTTAACACTGTTACAAGAGCTCACACGACCATGTTGCTTGACAAAAACCTCAGCATATTGAAGCTTGTTTAAAAAATAATCTGATGATAGAAAGATGGATTTCAGTAGACTTTATTTGCCCCAGACATTCATACAGTGATATTTCATGTCCCCAGGTAGGCCTGATACAATGCTTTACTACTCAAAATAAGTACTGGGTAACTCTTTATGTGCTTTGAAGTATTAGCCCAGAGAAGACAGAACTGAAGCTCAACATGATAGACAAGAAAAGCGGAGCAAAAACAGAGACCTCTCTAGGCAGGTACAACAGAGAAATGAACAGGTGTTCTACTCCAGCCCCCACTGATTCCAAGAAAAGAATGAGGTCAACTAATGATCACTGACTAACATTAGGGTTAAATGCCACATTTTCCATTGAACACTCAGCTGTGTAAACTTTGAGAGAACCCTTTTTTTAGTAAGTAACTTTCACTGGTACTTTTTCTTTCATGTGTGTCCCCTTCCCCACAATACAGATTGAGAAACAAAGTCTAGAGTGGTTAAATGGCTTTGGTCACTGAGCATAACACCCCCTCAACAGCCCAGAGGCAGGCCTTATCTGGTTGCCTATCATCCTTTCTGTTCTCATCACATATGTCATAAAAGTTAGAAAACACCTGAGGAACCGGATGTTGGGCTTAGGGTGTTTATGTTTTATTTGATTTAACATCTTCAAGTTAAGTAACTTGTATTGCCTGCAATATGGCTTCTGGTTAACCTTTAACAAAAGTACCTTTAAACACAAAGCTTAACCGTACAATGCAATCAAGGGAGGGGGGAGGAAGCTAGGAGTGGACCTGAGTTGCATAGTAAGAAGGCTCGTGTTGAGGGTGGCTGTTCAGATACTGAAGCAAAGCTTGGAAGGGAGAGGACAGAAAAATGCAGCAGTTTGTTCTCTTATAGAAACTACTTTTAAATTGTGAATGTTGATAAGGTTCTGCCCCTACAGAAGGGAAAAACTGAGACAATGCTTTCAAGACTTATTTCCTGTCCATCCTTAATTTACCTGAAGTGTGTATTTTTAAATAGGGAGGTATGTATGGTAATATAGGAGACTGGAAGAGCAGAGCAAAATTTAAGAGGGTGGAAAATTGATTAATCAGATGAACCCCCCCCCCCCACAAACCCCCCCAAAACTGTTCTGTAAACAGTCCTGAACCAATACATCTTTAATGCCTGTGTGGATAAGATGAATAAAAGAATGAAACGAGGGAAGCCAGGGATAGCATGAAGGGAGAGGGGAAGCGGAAGACTGCTGTTGTTCTAGAGAGCAAGTTTGCTGCCTATATATGGGTGAAGGAAGGAGGTCCTGCAAGTCATAAGAGACTCTCATTTCAGGCCACCTTTCTGTGATCTTCAGCACTGCATAAAACAACTTTCTGAAGTTGTAAGGGTTACAGAAAGTGGTAATCCTTTCAGAGAATTTCTCACAAAAAGACGCACCTCGTGTTGCTGTCTATAAGTGGTATGTTCACAAGTGCAGCCAACTTCTTAGGCACAATTTTAACAGGCAACTTGATGGAACATTTCAGTAACCATCAGGCCCGTGAGAAACATGCTGAACTAGGTCTGAATATCCCTGAAGAGTAGTAGGATAAAAACAACAGGTTTTTACCATTCACGTGTGTGCAAAGCCTCTGGCATTGTAGAAGCTCTGTGCAGCCAAGCCTAAGCTCTGAGGTACAAGAACATAGGTTCTCCCTGCTCCTTCTCCTCCTCCCTTACAGCTGGGGACTCTTACCTGGAGCAGCCTCTACATGAACCAGCTTGCATGAGGGCCAGGTTTGGGCTGAGCCAGCATTTCCTATACAGAGAACAACCCAGGTCCCAGGAGAGAGGAGAAGGGAGACTGCTGAGGTGGTTTGGGCTGTGGGGACCTGAGCCATGGGTTGAGCTGGCTTAGCTTGGCCTCTTGGGTCTTCTCCCTGAGCCAAGCAGAGGCTGGAGGTAGCATCAGGGGAAGGACAGGGCAGACCTGCTTCAGCAATGGCTGCCTGGCAGGTAGGTGGCCCTGTCCCTCAGGCAGCGGTGACAATCGGGCTTTCTGTGCTCGGCAGCCTTGCCCATGCCTTGGACTATGCGCAGCGGCGGACTTATGACCCTGGACCAAAGAGCGCCTGGTGGCGCAGGTGCTCCTCCAGGCACTGCACCGCCTGCTCGTCCACACTCAGGTCAAACTTGTTGGCCAGCAGGTGTTGCTGCTGGAGCATCCAGGGCAGGTCTCCCAGGCCGTAGATGCAGATGGCGTGCCGGTGCGTGCCGGTGCACGGTGGGTAGGGTGCCCCCCGCCCTATGTCGCCCTCCAGGTACTGCCACTTGACAAAGCGTGCCAGGGCATTCATGTCAGACAGATGGTACTTGTCGTTGGGCGGCAAGGAGCCCGGCACGCCCGGCAGGCGCTGTAGCGTGGCCCACACGTGCTCATCTGGGCTGTACGTGTCCTGGGCCCAGGCCAGCAGGCGCTGCACCTCGGGGCTCTCCAGGATGTGGCGCACGAAGTCTCGCGTCACCACTATGTAGGCATTGCCCGTGAACATTTTGGCGCTACCCAGCGGCGGGGGGCTCTTGGTCACGCTGGTGGGCACCAGGGCACCACTCCCAGACACTTGGTACTGGTAGTGCCAGCGCTGGCGCTTGATGGCAGAGGGCTGCTCCGACTCCATGCTGTTGCGGCCACGGAGCAGCTGCAGGGCCCGCACGATCTCGGCGTTGGTCTTGAGGGGGAAGTCGGTGCCGCAGGTGTTGAGCAGGTAGCGCCAGGGCTCGGGCCGGCGCAGCAGGTCCTCCATGCAGTTGAGGTCGGCCTGCAGGCGCGACCAGGACGCGTAGACGACGTGCTCCAGCCGGCTGGCCACGAAGACGTTGGGGAAGCAGGCGGCCAGGGCCCGCACGGCCTGCAGGAACTCGGCGGGCGCCTTGGCGTCCACGTGCACACAGTACACGTTCTGCGGCGCGTACAGGGCGCGCAGGAGGCGCTCGAACAGCTCCAGCTGGTCGTGGATGACCATGGAGAAGGCGAGCGGGAAGGCCGCCTCCTCCTCGCTCAGCGCCACCTGCAGGAAGCGCCGCCGGGCGCGGTAGCGCGCGCAGTCCGCCGTCAGGTTCAGGTAGTCGGCGGGTGTGAGCGGCACCCGCCGGCCCTTGAGCGCCCGGCTGCTGGCCAGCGCGGCCCGCAGCGCCGCCTCGTCGCCGCGCACGATGCCCG